AAAACAATCATTTTTATGGACCTTTGGAGTCCCCTTAAGCTTCTGGAAAAGTTGGAATTAGAGACTTAATGGATTAAGGGCTCAAATCATTAAGGGGAGGTTTCAGATTGAAGTTATGACGTGACACTAAGGATGTCACGACATGACCAAGATGGTTCTCGTGATTAAGTGGCCTTGTTGTGCTCACGACGTGACCAAGGAGGGTTCACGCTGTGATGCGTGTTGAGTGATTGTTAGTGACCGAGTTGGCTAAGTTGGGATGAAACGATTTGGGATCGGATTGGGTGAGTTCTCACGACGTGACCAACGATTGGTTAAGACGTGAGGCTCAATGGTTGGTGTTTTGGATGTTGATTTTGACCTTAACCGTTGAGTTGTTGAGTTGGGTTGACTTTTGGTCAAAATGGCTGGATTTAGTGTATAGACTAAGGTTGACCTTGTATGTTTTGATATGAGTATTGTAGCATCTTTTGCAGGGATTTAAGTTGTGGTTTAGCTGCTTTCGTGATTCAGGTGAGTTTTCTCACTATACTATGTAGGATGCTAGTTGTCTTTGTGACTCTCGCGTTGTGTGTTGGGCTGGGTCCAATGGCATGCATGTAGGGCTATGCACATTTGCATGATTGGGTTGGGCTCATTGATATGTTGGGATGGGCCCATTGATATGCTAGGTTGGTCCCATTATTATGGAGGGTTAGGCCCGTTATTATGGGATTGGCCCAATGTGCGAGTTAGGCCCGATGATATGTATGGTATGTGGTATTTTGGGGAACTCACTAAGCTTTGTGTTTACGGTTTGTGGTTTAAACATTTTTCATGTACTTCCAGTCCCAGAGGGAAGGGCCCGACTTGACTGCACAACATCGATGGCTTTTTCCGCCTTGATTATATTTGATATACTCTTACGTTTGAAGTTACAATTGACACTGATCGGATTTGGAACCAAAGTTTGTATGACTCGGTGCTTTAAACTGAAAATTTTTACTTGGTATTTTTGGGACTTTACAAGCAAAGAGAAAAAAGGGTATAAACTGTCTACGAAATGTTTTTTTTTTTTGGTATAATTAGCTTACCAATAAAAAAAATACTCTAAAATTTTAAATGGGGGAATAATTGTTATAAATTTTAAATTTCAGTGCATTTATAAAAATCATCCGTGGAAGAATCATCACCTTTGTGGAATTTCTAAAAGTTTCTACTTTTTATTTTTTGGGTTTCAATTAACTTCAGTAAATTATTCTACTTTTAGGTGAGTTTGACTGCTTCTTCTTCTTCTTCTTCTTTTTTTAGAACGGCTTTCTTCTAGAAAAGAGAAAAAATTACTACTAGAACATATAACTACGAACTAATTTTATGACATACACATATCTATGTCATAAAAATGCCATCTTTTTAAAACTTGAAGGGTTCACAACATATGTATGTCATAAATCAATGCCATGTATTATAATATTGACGACAAACAAAAATGTAAGTCATATTTTAATGTGATAATAATAAATTACACAAAATACACTTATATAAATTATGTATGTCTTCTTGATAAAGTGCCCCATTTCTAATTTCTTGCTTTAAAGACATCCATGATGAAAGGATCGATTAAATAGGGTTTTTGTTCTCACAAAACCATCTTTTGTGGCAAACTTAGAGAATCTCCAACTCATCCCCAAATGCCAATTTTTTCTACATTTCTCCCCCATCCATCTTCAACCCTATACCATTTCTTCCCCTATTTTTGGAGATATGAATACTATTACCTCAAATATGGAGTAATACTATTCATTTTTTCAAAGATGGGGAAGAAGTCCAGTTGTCGATTTTAATCTCTCTATTTTATTTTTGGATGTTGCTAGTTTAATTTTATCAAATAGTTAAAATTTAAATGTAATGTTTGATATTTGGATTACCATGTTATATATTTATTTATATTAATTAATCAATAACGTACAATTTATTTTTATGTATCGAATTCATATAAAATTTTAAATACATATTAAATTGTTGAAACACGGTAACATATTTTATAAAAGCTTAAATTTTAAATATACCTTATAAATACAATAAGATATGCTAATAAAAGTACAGGTAACCTATATATCGCAATAATTATCTAATAAAACCGAGGGATCCTCTCCTTTTTTGGCAAAAGGAAGTACTACTTACACGACTATATATATATATATATATATATATATATATATATATATAATATTTTTTTTACATATATTGATAATCGATTATAAACGTGATCATGATGCACTAACTGGATTTGCAATAGAAGTCTCACCGATAGAGGTCGAAATGACGATGAATGAAGACAATTGAATCAAAAAATTAAATCCTTGCTCGATATAAACGTAGTAAAGATAAAGAAGCTCGCTCCACTCTATGAAATATGTTGGTTGATCAATTATGAGAAATTTATTCCACCGCATCAATATGTTTTTTTTTTGATAAATTCATAATTCATTCAAATTCATTATATACAAAAAATTTATTTTGTTATAATTTTTTTAAAAACAAAATTTACAATATTATTGTAATGAAAAAACATTATATTGCATATTTGTTAAAAGTTAATTGGTTGAAGGGTGTGTTGAATAATCTATATAAGTTACAATAAAAAAATATACTAGGAATATAATTTTTTTGGGTAAAAATGGAATTGAGTTGGAGATGAAAAACTATTTACCTTATTTTTACTCCATTTTGACATTTAACAACAATATTCTTGATAATTTTGAAATATTTTGTAATTAGTATTTGACATATGACATTATTGTTTGCAATATCTATATATATATATATATATATATATATATATATATATATATATATATATAATATAATATAATATAATATAATATTTTGTATTATGAGACAATGAATGTGATTTAACTTGAATACTAATATTAAAAAATCTGCAACTTTTTTTTTTAAAAAACACGCAATTTCATGACATACAAATTGTGTATGATAAGAGTATGTCATAGATTGTATGTCATGTATTAAAATGGTCAAAAGTTATGACATACAAAAATGTATGTCGTAAATACGTGTAAATTTATGACAAATAAATCACTTCCTTTATGAGGCTTTAATGATACACATTTGTGTGTCATTTCTACCTTTTAGTGATATGCAATGTGTGTAATTAAAAACTTTTTTTCTAGTAGTGTAGCGAGGTGTTCGAAAAATAATAACAAACAGACCTAATGATTATTACATTTAAGAACAGCTTTACTCGAAAAATGCAACCAGGCATCCCAAAGTAACTTCTGAATTCTCGAGTCCATTTGAAAGACATGTTTACATAGGTAAAAAAGGAATAAAATTATCACTCATTTTATCCTTTTTAAAATTGAGATTATTTCTCATTCTTACATATCTCCCTCTATAACTTTAATGACCAATCTAGAAAACTAGTGTAGTCTAGGAATGCAAAGCTTTATGTTTATACAGTTCATTCTTATTTTAGTTTTAGGCATTATAGATAAATATGTACTCTATGAGTGCAAAAAAAGGATTGATGATATTGTTGATTGTAACACCCATTTTCATAAGACATTTTTGAGCTATGGTGTATGAATTTCTTAATTTATAGTCATGTTTTGAAAAAATATGGTCCAACAAAAACCAAACAACCTGGGGTGTTACTAAATCAATTTCAACAAAACCATAGCAAGCAATATAAACAATTGTTTAATTAAACATCGTAACTATGTTTTTTTATAAATGGTATTTCTGTATATACATCTTTTTGTCTATTTATATGGATTAAAACATAAAAAAATACATTGTAGAATTATAATACATTTTTAGAAGTATAAATACATATTTTTACATGTTTATAATTATAGATATGCGTATTTTATCAATGAAAAATGTGTTTATATACAAAAAAAAAAAAAGAGAGACCTGTTTATATACATTTTTATCAATATAAATACCCACTTTTTTTATTAGAAGTTTATTTACATTTTTTTCCTACTTATAAACCATTCTAAAGAAATTTTTTTGTAGAAGTATGAATATAATTTTAGAAATATAAATACTTTGTATATGAAAAAAAAAATTATACACACAAAAATGATTTTAGAGGAAACCATTAAAAAGAACTTAAAAACTTTAAGGTTTTAATGACATTGTCCAAAAACTAAAAAACTAACTTCCTTCAGACTCAAATATATATAATATATATATATATATATATATATATATATATATATATATATATATATATATATATATATATATATATATATATATATATATATTCAAAATCGCAGAGCACATTAAAGCCCAAAATCTTTCAAGCCACTGGCTGAAGCTTGGGCCAAAATCAGCCCACTTAAAATCTCTAGGAAAAACAAACGCAAAATAGCCTGTTGAGCTTTGTTCTTGATGGGGTCCCAGTCCACTTGTAGGGCCTGACCGGCATTACTCGGGTTTTTTTTTGGGTCCATTAGATTCATGTTGTCGGGCTTTTATGCTTTATATTCTTATCAGCAATCAATGCAAAATTAAATTCATAGTTCGCTTTCATAACAAAAAAACATGCATATCACATTTACATAATGTATGACATGAAAGTGAAAACATGTAAAACACTATACATATACTCCGTGTGATATACACTTGTTGCATTAATTATGATTCTATTAACTTATGAAGCTTGCTGATGATTTCCATGTTGCCATTATAATATATTAAATTATTAAGCTCGCATGTAATTTACTAATGTTTAGGAATCAGTTACAATCAATGTTGTTGAGAACATGATGCCCATAACTTAAGCAGAATTTAACATAGAAAGGTTGGCAAGTAATGGTGCTATTAGTTAACCATAAGATGCATAACTTGTTTAATATTATAGATTATCCATTACCCACTAGAGCATGCTTTGTCTCGATATATACTACAAAAATAAAGTATTTATTATTATAGTGTATTAATAGGATCCCTATTATACAATCTTGCTTTTTAATCATTGATTAATGTTTTTATATATATTTGTATTATGATGTGTTATGATCTGGTAACATAAATATATAAAGCATTGTTGATCTATTTTAATTCTAATATCCCGACAAGAGACCATGGAAGAGGTGCTTCCATGGAGAAATTAGTAAGCAATCAAGCTCTCATATATGTGGCACATCTAACAGTTCCAACTGTGAGTTCTCTACTCTTTCATGGATGTGTTTTATTTGAGCAAATTTATCTTATATTCTAGTTTTATTCCAAATGAAAATTAGATCTATGACTTTGATGATGTTTTTAATTGCTGATTAGTCTCAGGAAATAGTCATCAACGCAAACCTGGGATGTGCTTGTTGTCGAGAAAGACTTCACAGAATTATGATGAGAATCACAGGTGAGGAACTCCACGCTTTTGGATTATGTAGAATTAAGTAATGTTCGCTTTGGAACATGGTAAATTTCATGTTATCGTTATTAGAGTGTATTTTAGTCGTTTGAACAAAACCCGAGTAATAACAAGTGTTATTATGCCCCAATGGCCAATGGCATAGTAGAGTTGGTTCTCGGATCAATATACTTGCAGAATTGGTCAAGAGTTTGACTTTTAAGAACTACGGTGTGATCAGTTTTATTTTCAATCTGGATTGAGATTATTGTTGGAACTGAGCTCCTAACAAGTCATTGTTTATTTGATTTGTAACTCGGGTGATGATCCTATTTAACACCATTTTGGTATCCATTTCATGAATTGCAGGGTTAAGAGAGTATAAGGTGGATGTTAGAAATAGCCAAGTGATCATGAGAGGGAATTTGAATGTTTACGAGACTTTGAAGAACAAAACACGGAAAACACATTCGTTAAGACGGAGTTTAGTTCGCTGGATTACACAAAATTTCAATTGATGTTGCTAAGTTCGATCATATGAGTTAGAGTTTAACACTATTGTTGCAAAGATTACTTTTATTTTTTAATTATTTAAAAATTAAAACTTGTAGAATTGTATAAAACCTTCTAAGCTGTCTGAAGAGTGAATACTATTTGATAGCATGCATACTTTAGTGTGAATGTTACTATTTCTACTAAAAATAATACTCCCTCCGTCTCAAAATTATTGTCCACAGACAAAAAACATAAGGAAATATTAATTATCATTAAATTTATACAATAGAATGAGAGCTTTGTCCTTACTTTACATTTAATGTTCTATTAAATGCTTAGTTGATTAAGTAAAAATGAGGGGGTATTTTGGTAAAAATGTTATTTATTTTTAAAAGTTGACTATTATTTTGAAACAAATCAAAAATGAAAGATGGACTATAATTTTGAGACGGAAGGAGTAAAACATAACTCTACTATATATATTCGTAGTTTTTATCTCCAATGTGTACCCCGATATGCGAAAACTCTGACTTCTACATGTGTCAAAAATAATCCCAACACCTAAGTCTCACTTGCACCTCGAGTAATACAAGAAAACATGCAAAAAAGGCAATCTCAAAACGTAATAACACCATGAGTTTTATAACAAATAATGCAAACTTACCTTTTAAATCTAAAACTATCCTTAAGATGTGCATCACTGGTGTGTATTTTATCTTTGTCTCTCACAACATCGGTAGGAGCCGATAGGTCACAGGATTTTTCTTTGGTAAGACTAGGGTTGTAATTCTCTTCATTTATCGCTGAGTTGTGTCCATAGGCGGATCTAGATGGTTCCTGGGTAGCTCGGGATGCCCCTCAAAAAAATTTTAGCGGTTAATTTTTTTTTCCAGTAGTGTAATTTTTTTAGGAAATTTTTTGGAAATGCCATTTTACTCCCCTTTACTTTGATCTTGGATCGGCCACTAGTAATGTCATAGTTTTTTTCATATTGAGATTTGAAATTGTTTTTCTTTAATGTCCACCATTCCCGGAGGCTAGGCCTGTGCTAAGGCCCTAAAATTCATGAAGCCCAAAAGTTTTTTTTTTTGAACGACAAATCTAACCTACTCCTAAATTAATTACTCTTTATATCTATCAATGTCCACGACGGGACTTGAACCCTCGACCTCAAGGACGAAGAACAACACCTGATACCGCTGGACTAAAAATCTTTTAGTATCGATTTCATACTTTTGGTTAGTTGGACACTTGACATAAACACATAATGATTCAAATATGATCTCAAAGTTTTTATTCTTGTCTTACTACTTAATTATACTTGGATATGGATATTTTATTTTACATAATCACTGTTTGGTTTTCTTGTAAGTGCTATTAAGATCAAAATCCTGATCCTAAATTATAAATGATCGTTATCATAATAGAATCGACTTTGTAGCAAGATTGTATCTTAGATCGTAGGATCGAAAACTCATAACGATCCGATTCAACCTTTTTTTATCCTAATTTGGTGTTTAATGTTTAAAAGTGCAAACTCTAAAGTCTTTCTTGCTATTAGAAAATTAATAAGTTTATATTATTAAAGGCATTATATTTCCGTGTTTTCCTTTACATAAAAAAACCCTCATATTTTTGCATTTTTTTGTTTATAGCTCTTTTAGCAGATTTATCGGTATTGATATTATTTAAGGAAAAAGAAAGCCTAAGTTCTTTTATACAAGAAAAACTCTAATATTTGACTCAAATTTTCGATTGGACGAACTTTTCGTTTTGGCGGAAAATTTATATGCATGTGTTGATTGTTATGGTATTCTTATGGACGAAGATGGAGGCTGGAATGCATGTGTGCTTACTAATTTGGACACTAAAAGTTGTATGTCTCCTGACATGGATGAAAATGTCCAATAAATGGTTCGTGACTGCTAATTAATTTGGAGTTTGGATGTTATGTTATGTGTATGCTAACTTGAGTGGGATATATCCCCTAATCTAATAAATAAAACCAATTTTGCAACGTGATATTTTCTTAGCCCCATCCAATCGATTTATCCCGCCAATGACATCTAAGTGAATTTCCGATATTGCCCCTTCTTCCATTTACTCATCGTTATCATAATACATTTAAGTTTTTTGGTGTAGGTGGAGTGCCTTCGTATAAAGTTCAAATAAAGTAAAATATATTTTGAAAGCATTATACTAATTAAAGGATACTAAATTAATCATCTTTTTGATCCGAATGAAAATGTTGAGTTTTTAGTAATTTGAAATATTGATAATCTGGGAATTACCTACGATTAATGATTAATTTTTCCAGATAGCTACAACCAAAGAGAGTCCAGGTTCTTCCTTTAGTCTGATGTTTGATGTGTGTGTTGTTTTGCAAGTAATATAACAAACACAGCCTAAATGTTTGTTTTCTTTGCAAATTTGTTTTATTTTTATCTATTTTATTTATTATTGATATGTTTGTGTATCAATTTGTACTTCTGTGTCGAGACAGTATGGGTTCGGTTGGAATTGATAACAGAGGCTTTCAATTGGAGCATAGACTTTTAATGCGAAGTGTTTACATATTTTAGTTAAATTTTGTTTTCAAATTTCAGCATAGGTATATAGTATTTCTACCAAGAGTGTATGTAATGATTAGATTTATATGTAATGCATTTTTTCATAAACTACAGATTTTACAATTAAATATTATACTTTGAATAGTAACATTCTTCCTTCATGTTTTTTTAAACATGTTTTAAGTTATGATATGTTGTTTTTGTGAACTAACAATACTTTATTTTTATTTGCTTACTGATGGTAGTAACTTGCAATTTCTTGCATATAACCGTCTTACTTATTTTTATTTGTGTCTGTTGTTTTGAGGAATGTATGATCACTAATTCAAGAATGTGTATTGATACTTCCAAGATATTTGATAGATGAACTTTCTTATTTCATTTCAAGAAGATGTTGAAGAGCAGTAAGTCACATGGTTGACACATCATACACCAAATATAGTAATGTCTCTAGCCAAATGCATTATATTGTAGTATGAAAGAATTTGTAAAATAAGTATTAAAATTTATAGATGGGTGTCACTTATATTATATTTCAAACATAAACGTGCATTTGATTTTAATGAGAATTCACATAATTTGTTTGTAGGTGACAAATACAAGCATTAGAAATGTAATTGCTTAGTACATCTTACTTTTAAGGTAATGTTATTAAATTGTTGTGCGGATGTTTTTTTTCTTATGTACTATACAGATACATCATGAATATTATTCAGTTGTGTAACGCTTAGTTTCGATATGAATTTATTTCTTTAAATTGTTGATTTTTCATGTTGAACTCGGCGAGTTGAAGACTTCAACTCGACGTGTTGAGTGGATTTTGGCCGCGAGAATTAATGGACCAACTCGACGAGTTGGGGTGCCTTAACTCGACAATTTGGCGGATGGGAAGGAAACCCTAATTTTTAGGGTGTTGCACCCTATTTAAAGGCCTTAAGTGTCTTGGATGGTCTCCTTACCTCCTCTGTCCAGAAAACCCTAAAAGAGTGTATCATCGTCCTTGAGAGTGTGTGAGCTTGTAGAGGGCCTTAAGAGTTGATATTTTGCACACTTTTGGAGGATCCTTGAAGTTGAAGGTGCATAGCTTGGAGAGAATACCTAGATCCAGAATCTCCCCACCCTTTTCAGTCATTTGGAGGTATAAAGTTTGTACCTTGCTTTGTTATTGTTTTGGGGTTTTATCTTGATTTTGGGCTCATGGTTGAGTTGCCCAAGAAGTTGAGTATTCGGTTGTCATGCTAGATCTAGCCATGTTATGGCCTCATTTGGCTTAAAGTTGCAAACTTTACTACGCCTTAGGTCCCATTTAAGCATTAAGTCCTTTATTAAACCCATTTTGAGTCCTAGGGTTCCTTTTAGCATGTATGGACGTAAATATGGAAACTTTACATGATTTCTCAACCTTAGGGGACCAGATCTGCATATTGGGACTTTGTTTTGAGAGTTTAAGGGCTTAATGGGTCAAGAATCACCCCAATGAGTCTAGGGTTTGGGTTTGACTCAACTTAGATGGTTCCTAAGGGTAAAGTTGGAAACTTTACCCTTCTAGACATCATGGTGAAGGAGATCTGAGAATTGAAGCTCCTAGATTCGATGGAAACAACTCAAGGCATTAAGCTGTTGAATTCCTGGCTAACTCGACGAGTTCATTAGGTGAACTCGGCGAGTTGATGTGAGTTTTCCCGATTTGTGCAGTTAATGGAGAAACTCGACGAGTTGAAGGATAACTCGACGAGTTGGGTCAACTCGGACCGTTGACTTTGACCTTTGACTTTTGTCTTTGACCAAGTTTTGACTTTTAAAGGATCTTAAGGCATTTTGAGTTGTATTTATGTTTCTGTTTGGGGGTTGAGTAGAGCTGATATTCGGACCCGGGACCTAGCCAGCTATCGTTCAGTATATGAGGTGAGTCTTCTCACCACAGTCATGGGTCAAAGGCACCAAGGCCGGCCCATTATTGATTATGAAATGATTCGTATGGGAGTATGTAATTGTTTGTTATTGGATTGATATGTGGACTTATGTGCAGACCGTGGGAGGAGCCCATGGCATTTGGCAAGACCATGAGAGGAGTCCATGGCTCAGGGATACAAGACCATGGGTGTAGCCCATGACATTCCAATGAAGACCATGGAGGGAGTCCATGGCAAACTTATATGTATATATGTGTGCATGGTATTATGTTATTATATGATTCGTGTGTTTTGGGAAACTCACTAAGCTTATGCTTACAGTTTTATTGAATGTTTCAGGTACTTCTATTGATAAGCGCAAGGGCCCGACTTGATGGCGCGACGTGCATTCTCCAATGTTTTCACATTTAGTTTTCGTACTCCAGATTTTTGTACTCCTTATGGTTGATGTTTATGAAATTAAAAGTTAAAAATTTTCTGAAAATTTGGGCTGGTACAAGTTGCGAATGTGTTGTGCTAATGTGGAACAATAGCACCAGGAGCATAACCTGCTTATAATTTCTCTAAAATTGATTTTCATATTTCTTTCTT